ATCATACAAGCTTATTGTGTCATGTACATAAATGTATTTTGAACGCGTGTAGATAAAAAAGTGCCTTTTCTCGTTGCTTAAACATTTTATTGCATTATCATCTTAAAAGCACTTTTAATGGACTGCGACTTGCTCCCACGCAAACAGATGCGATAAGTACTCGACTTATACGCTTTTTAGGAAAAAAACTCCAAGCACGGAATTTACTTGGAGTGTACATCTCATCAATATGCTAAAAATACCGAAGCCGACCACGACGGAAGCCTCCCCAATTCTGGTCGGTGCACCTACTGTGGAATGTATATTGAGTGACGCCTCCGATTGCTTCGAAAGGAGAAGTGATTTTTTAATTTTTCTCTCGCCGATCGATGTTTTAATAATGCTGTTTTAATTAATCAATTAATCTGATTCAATTTATTAATTTAATTAATTAGAATAACGCTTTTAATTTCCCGATTATCAATGCTTGTTGTATGGTTCGAAGCTAACTTAAGTTGCCGTGCATTTTCAATGTCGCAAATCGATAGCCTCGACATAAGTTGCATGCAACACCTAGTAATCACATTATTTTAACGTATACCCCTTTTCCTCTTTGGACACACGCTATCCATTTTGCTCTATGTTTAACTTTTACCACATTACTAATTTTGAAAACTTCTCTACGTATTATTGCAAACACCAGAATTATTCGAAAATGCTCCTGCCTATCCCTATCTTGATTAGTTGATCATTACCTTTAACAATTCCCTTGAGCATGCGTTCACTTTTTCATCCCAAAGCTTACCTTTTATTTCTTTGATCCGCCTCTAATAAGGACTCTCAGAGGAATGCTGAAAAGCCACTAAATTTCAATAGATTTTGTTTGTGGTTTTAAATGATTCAACCCGTGTATATTGAAGCATATATTTAACAAATAGATTCTAAGTTGCCGTGCGTCTGTTCAGTAATAGATCACAGAGGACGTCAAAATGTGGTAAGAACATCAGTGACACACTCGGCTGCGCCTCGTGTACCACTTTTTTGTTCTAACTACATTTTGACGTCCTCTGTGATCTATTACTGAACAGACGCACGGAAATTTGGAATCTATTTGTTTTATATAATAAAGAATTTTAAAAAAACTTGAATTATGACGTCATCTATACGTCTGTCCTCCAATAGATCATAAGTGAGAACCAATTAGAATGCGTGCATAACTGAGCTTATTATATAAATATATATAGCAGATACCTCTCATTTCATATCGCTCGCCGAGGATGTTTCAACCAGTGGTCTGCTTTGTTTCGGCGAATAAAATGAGTTGGGATTCCAATACAAGGGTCATTATTTGGGTAGTTTTGTAAATAACTTCGAGAAAAAGTGGAGAGTTTTAACAGCGTCTTCCAGGAATTTCGTCGCGTGGTCTACTGCTTGGCAATCTGCTTGGCATAATTGCTAAATTGATCCGCACACTGCCACGTTACATTCGTTCAGCGGAAAACTCAGGAAATGGCCTGCGCGCGATTTGCAACCCGCGTTTTTTGGCGGCAAAGTTAGAACAGGATTACACCGTAATACAAAATTCCAAGAGTAGCTATGACCACGTTGGCAAAAAATGATGTTGTAAGTTCGAGAAGGTAGGGTTTCAGTGGACAGAAATGGGAAAGTTAGCGAGAGAGAAGGAAAGAATGAAACGGCGAAGAGCGAGAGAAGTTGAGGAAGGACACAAGAACACATAAGAGGCTGACTAAGGTATAGATAAAAGCATGGCACGGAAGAACACCACGACCAAGAACACCCTGCATTAAAAAGAAGAAAGATTTAATGAAGACGGAGAACAATTAAGGGAACGAGTTATAAGCAGAATCATCGTCAAAATATCTACAACGATTAACGGAAGAAGTAAGACTTTCAGAGCATGGAAGCGCTCGAAGTTGAAAAGTAAGCTTAAGAAGAAATGCAAGATAATGAAGAATGGATGAGCGGGATGTATGCATTAAATGAGAAGGTAAATCACATTTTACTACGTTTTTTACCATTTTACCAACGACCTATGGCTTTTTCAGTTAGGCATCATAGTTTTGCTCCTAAGTATTTGCGCAGTCATTGCTGGGAAAGGAGCTTAACTTTGAACCAATCGAATTGTCTAAGTTTGGGTCGGAATTTGAAGGAATTTCTGATTTCTGCTATTCTGTAGGTGCCCTCCACTTCAATGGTGTTAAACAAAATCACTTTCAGGGCTTGAAAATCTGGTTGTGTGAGTAAATTTCAATCATTTTATTATTTATCAGACTTGATTACAAACCCCAGTCATGACTGTTTTTATTTATATTAATTGTATGCACAATATGTTGAAGATTGCAAACATTATTTCAATATTATTGACATACTTTGATTTAGATGGGAAAATATACATGATTTCTCCAGTTGCATGAAATTATTAAGTCATTACATTCTCTGAAAAATGTTTAATAATATGATCTGCCGATGAATTGAAGGCTTAAGGGTGCTCTTCACTCCTTGGCCGTGCTGCTCTAAAATGTGACTCTTCGTTCACAGCAGAAATTCAAAAAAGTAGACCAGAAAAGGTTTTCTTTAAATGGAGGGCTGGTATTGAATTAGTTTTCATCAATTTAGATGAAAACACATTTTCCTAATAGCTTGAAAATCTCTTCAGGATAATTTTATGTCATTGCCCACTCAGTTTTAGCCTTTTTTATTGGAAATCTGTTGATAAGCTGATGAAAAGAAATTTTTTTTTTTAGGGGGGAGAGGAGGGAATTTATGTACAGGGTGATTCTGTACCCTGGCTGATTGTTTTTTTTCAGAATTGTGTATATATTTTCTTCAATCACAAATGTGGGGCATGGAATGTTGTTTAGTTTGTATTTAGGTACTCAGGCTCCTCAACTGACCTACAATTATATTCCTTTCACTTCATAAATGTTTTATCTTTGGCATGATCCTTTCACAAAGAGAACTTTAATATGAGAAATAGCCCCTCCCATAAATCATCTGAGAACCTATATTTTTTTTATCTTCATAGTTGTAAGAATTACACCACTCAGCTTGGGTACTAGGTCTCCTATTTATCTTTTTCTTCTTGACCTACTAGAAACTCCAAGCAGTGATTGTTGTGCAAATTCTTGTTACCTTATTCCATACTCTTTCATGCTAACAGGTTGAGAGTAAGAAGAAAATTATCAAATAGCTGATATTTGATAGCATCAACATGAGCTTTTGTTATGTGGTTAGGGCAATATTTTAGGACTTGGGGTGCAAAAAATGGTTCAAAATCTGTACTTTGCACATGAATGGGTCACAGGATTCTTTGTCTTTTCAATTGGATAATCAAACAAATGCAACAAAGCACTCCCCAGTCCTAAAACAGGATTGAAATAACCTTTTTGATTATGGTTAGGGCAGATTTTGATGACAGGAATCAGGATTCTAGGGGCAAAATGGTTCAAAATCTGTGCTCTGCACATGAATTGGTCACAGGGTTTTTTGCCTTTTTAAGTGGGTAATCAAGAAAATGCAACAAACCCTTCCCTAGCTGTAAAATGGTGAGTGCCCTCCCATTGTAATTGATTTTTCAATTTTGACCCTGCTTCCTCTTGCATTCCTAGGGTTTATATAGGGAAATTTCAATGTATTTGGGTGTATGATATATGCATATGATACACAGAGCAAGACAAGTATGCCTTGGCCTTATTGGTCACAAAATTAAAATTGTGGATATTATAGTCTAGTGTGCCATTCTTTACCCTTTTCTATGTGTTTTCTCAATTGCTGTCTCAAACAAAATCTAGTAAACTTTACCTCCAACTGTCTATTGAACCTGAAACGGAGGACTTTTTTCGCCCGACTTATTTCTTGCACTCGCTGTTTTTGTCCAAGAGCATGGTTCATACAGGTGTAAAACGGCCAAAAAAAAAAAGTGAGGGATGAAAATTGGCTAATGTTAGCCGTTAATCATAAAACAAGTTAACCATGAAAATGTTTCTGTTAATCACGAAATAAAGAAGTTAACCGTTAGCCGTAAAATAGCAAAACTGAATTTTAACCGATAGCGATAAAATAGCTAAAGATTTTAACAGTTAGCCGTAAAATCCATCACCCTCACTTGACGTTTGAGGGCTTGGTGCGTTTTGAATAACGCATTAAGAGACGTATTACATTTAAGTGACTATCACGTTAAATAGGCCAGAAAGCGCTACTTTTCGGTTTTCTCTCTAGTACTCCTCATTTTCAGGCTCCAGTTTAACTCTGGAAACCATTCCTCAATTAAAAAAAGTCCATCGTCCAGCGCATTGGTTTGATATTTTTTTGTGTGTGAAGACAAATACCGTCAAACGTGACTTAGGGAAGGTATAATTTCGTGAGATGCAGCAGTTTGTGACGTAACTCTGGCATTTACATAAATGCTAAGTGCAAATCATTTGCACTTGGCATTTGTGTAAATGCGAGAGTTACAGAGTTATAAATGCAGTTAATAAATGTAAACTAACCGCAAGTACACTCCAAGTAAGAAACCTCTGCCATCGGTTGCTCGAAGGTTGGATAACACTATCACTGTATAGACCTCTATTCGGTGGATAGTGCAGTGGGGTTATGTTAACGCTTCTCCGCTGGATAGCGATTTATCCGTTGGATTGCGTCATTCAGCCTTCGAACAACCAGGGCCAGGTCTACAGCACTACATAGCCTCATTCGGAGGTAACGTCACTGAGATGTCCAATGTCAGTCTAGAAGATGAAAACGAATGTTAACCGTTAATTTCCAGCTTTCATAATCAGTCTCCGGCCTGCACTAACTATGATCTGGGTAAGTGTAGTTTGGACGACTGAGTAGTGATGACCTAAAGAACCTGAACAAAGCGTTTGTCATACTTTGACTTACTTGACTCGCACGATGACTTCTGCTTTTGTTCAGGTTGTCCAGATGTCAGTCGCTGTCACAAACTACATGTCTTTTAGGAGAATATACTTTTAAATAGTGAATATTCTAAAAGCCATTGATTCTTCCAGCCAGGCTGATAACTGCTCCATTTATTAACAATACGGCAAAGGCAAGGCAGATTAACCTGAATTTTAATTAAACTGCCCCATTTGAAAGTTACATGTTCTAAGGAAGAACCTATTTATAAAAGCATCAGAGAAAGGTATAAAATTAAAACCAGTTGAAAACAGCCAAAAGTTTTAAAATAATTGTTAACAATTAATGAAATGTCCTGGGTCGCTTCTTAATCACAAATGACAATCATAGTAATTCTTGGTGGGTGTAACCTTCGTTTTCTTTTCAAGCGCCCCTTGACACTTAACATAATTTATTAGGTTAATTGCTTTTAAAAAAGAGACCACGGTCGCCTGACTACCATTAAAGCATTCTAAGAGAGCGCTTCGTGTGACTTCAACTAATCATTTCTACCGTTTCGTTGTTAGCACCCCTCTCCCATTATCTTGCATTTGCGCGCAGAAAAAAATCACAAAATGCACGATAAAATTCCAGTTACTTAGTCAGATATTATGCCTATTCCTTTTCTTCTTTCTGAACGCTCTTCTATTTGTTTGATGATAAACAAATTCAAACGAAAGAATCTGTCGAAAGTAAGATCTAAAGTTCGTTTATTTGAGCGAGTGGCAATGATTTCTGTTAAAGAACGAAAAATTGAACGAATTAAACTGATGAGCGACCGTTCACAATCGGTCTAAGTTTAGAATCTTACGATTTCGTGCAGAAAGGTAGACTTCGAGTGGTCCTTTCCGCAAATTTTGGAGATCCCACTGTTTATTTTAATTCATTTCCCTCTGATTTATATCTCGTTTTATCAAGCTCACCATGAAGCCTCCATTTATGTAGCCTAAAAAATTCATTACAAGCCATTGATGTTACATTTACCCGCCTTCGATCACTTTTCATATTAACTGTGCTTGATTATCCCGCTTGAGTGGTCTTAGTTGTTGACCAGATTTCTGTTTTTCAATTTCTTTCGTGTGACCTGCCAGTAAGATATGATACATTTAAAGAACCATGACTGAGGTCCCAAATCGAAACTTTTAATGTCCAGTCCAAAGGCACGGTGTTTTAATTATAAACCGATGTTTTGACAACGTTTGAGTATGCCATTATTGACGAAGCAGTCACAACCATCATTACCTTGTTAATAGAACAAAGGCAATTTCTATGTCCCTGAAATAATTGCAACGCGACTTTCAAGTAAACTCTCATGAATCTATGTAATTCAGTTGTTCAGAATGTAAGCGAGTTTGCATCGCCTTATGATTTGATTGACATTATTTAACAGACTTGACTTGAAACAGAGCGACAAAACTGGAAATAAATTTGCGCGTAAAAATAAAACAATTGAAATCTCTAGAGATCTTTTGCACTTGCAAAGGGCTTATAATTTGGTTTGTGTCGTAATAACCATTCAAAACGTCGAAGCAAAACACTGTTCTTGCTTCAGATAATGGCTCATTAACACTCATCTTTTTTGGTATGATCTTTTTTCTATACGAATACTTTTGAAAGGTTTCGGGTATTTTCACTTAAGCTCGGTTTCCATGCCACGATTGTGCCAGATAATACTCAAGTGATCAGGACCAAAAGAAGACCAAACGATCTGACATGACCCGCACAATTAAAACGACCACAATGTTCTCGCTCTAACCTAGTTTGCGCCGAGCAAGGGTTAACTTGATCGCTCAGTCTTTCACAATCGTCAGGAAATCAATAGAGATCGGGACAATTCAGGAAATCTTACAGCGGCTAGGTCTTTGGACCCAAATACATAAAAACTATGCTAAATAAAAAGTTAACTTGTTTAAAATTAAAGGTACCTGCATCCATATCTCTTCAAAAATTACGTGCAAGAAGTGTATGTATCGGTATGGCCGTTTGACTTTGACATTAGTTCACCGCCTGATTTCCGTAAAAACTTGTAGATAACACGTAAGAAGGCAGTACGGAACTCCTTGTTAAAGCACGTGTAAATAATAGGGTTTGCTGCAGAATTGCTCACTGGTAAAACGTTCACAAACACTATGACTAAAACTGTGACGCTTTCTAGCGGCAGACTTTCGAAGCACTCGAGGCAATATTGCGAAGTGATGAAAATCACAAAAAATGGAAACCACGAGAGAATAAAGACTCCCACCACAATTGCCAACGTTTTAGTGGCCTTGAGTTGCTTCATGATCTGTAGTCCTGACGAGCGTCGCGGTTTCGAATCAGTGAGCGGTTCACTACTCCGCTTCCCTATTGTTATTCCTCTATTGCTGGATGCGGGTGAGCTGGTGATCCCACTGGTATCTTCGTTGGCGTCCTGTTCAGCCAAAAAGTTCATGGCTATAGCATCCCTATCTTTCTGCACCTGTCTCGCGTGCTGAATGGCGATCTTCAAAACCAGGACGTAGTTGAAAATAAGAACGGTTAACGGGAAGAAGAACGCGGCAACGGCTAATATGGTAATATATATTTTAGCCTGTATGGAGCATTGGGGTTTTATGATGATTGTTTCGTTTCCGCCCCACTTCACGAACGACAAACAGGCAACAACCAATGCGAAGACCCAGACTATTACAATAATCAAAGTAGCTCGCTTGGTGGTCATGTTCTCGTGGTACGTAAGCGGCCATTTTACAGCAAGGAGTCGATCGAAGCTGATTCCTGTTAGATTCAGTATAGAGGCACCACAGCATACCATGTCGATCCAAATCCAGTACTGGCAGCCAGCGGGACCCAGACTTTTTGGCCAGCTCTCCTGGTTTATCGTCTGTGCGATTCTGAAGGGCAGCGACAAAGATCCCACCAGCAGGTCACTTACCGCGAGAGACACAATTAAGAAATTGGTGGGCCTGCGAAGGCGAGGGAAATAATAAACACTGAGGCAAACAAGAGAGTTTCCAACTATGGTTAGTACCATGACAATCGTGTTAAATGTCGCTGAGGCAATGATGCTGGCTTGGGAATGTGATCGGGGTGGTGCAGTAGAACTTGCAGGAGTAGTGAAGTTTTCCGTAAAATTCATGCTGGTTAAAGACATCTGTCAGCGCGAGTTTTCCACCTCGTCCAACCACCTGGTAGTCGTTGTTTTCACTGTGGAAAGAAAACGCGGTTCATGTTAATTTTGATGAAAATAAGTCACTTTGAAATACGAAACAAAGGCCTTTGCGTTTGTATGTCGCGATTATCATGGGAACAAAAGGATCAACTGATTTCACTTTGCAAATGAAGTGTGGACGATCGTTATCCTAAGCATACCGTGACCATTTTTCGACTATAATACTTTTTTGCCAAAAAAATAATGGTTTTCCGCGGAATACTTGTATTCTAAAGCAAGACTTACCTATTGCCAGTTGGGTAAACTGTGTTATCGTCTATCCGCTCAAATTAACTCTAAGTTGTCACCGAAACCTCTGTTTGTGGTACAAAAATGAAAATTGTTATTATACCAGCATGCATGATCATTAGGTATGCTTTCAGTGTTCTTATCTTTAGAATCCAGAAGGTGGTCTTCAATTTTAGCAAACGGTGAAGCTTTTGAAATATCGCCACTTTGCCACGGGGAAAAAAGAAAGTACCGATTCAAGAGAATGGATTATATTTGCTATCTCGTGGGGATTGGCTCAACTTCGTATTAGTCGCACGTTCTCCATGATTTCTTTCTTTGTTTTAGTTGAAAGGCGAGATTAGATTCGCATGAATGAAATTAATTTTTTTTTTCGATAATCGAATGAAAACAAATCGGTCTTTTTAGACGTAGGCGTTGCGAAATTGACGTCGAGATATTGTGCCCAGGTCGAAACGGAGCGGATTATGAGAGAAACTCTTATTAGTTTACCGGCAAAACAACAAAATCCATCTGCAATTCAAGATAGCGAATTGCGATCAGCGACTTATTAATTTTTCTTTTTTTTATTCTTTGTTATTTAGTCGACCACTATGCTAGCCTAAGCGCTGTTTACTTAAGTTGATGTCATGTAGGCGGAACAAGACTTTTTGTCGCCGATTTTTTGAATCAACATTTTGAATTTGGAGCTAATTTAATGTTTTATTTTTCAATTCCAAGTCGATTTCTGAAGATCTACAAGTAGAATGGCTCTTTTCTCCCGGCAGGGAAGTTTTGTTTTGATAATATTAGCAAACTGAATCTTTGTTTTGAAATGAAGGAAATAAGGCGTGGCGGACTCTGTACACCAGAGGCGTTTTTAAGTTTAGTTTTTCTTTTCCAAAGGCATAGTTTTCAACAGTAAATTTTAAGTCAGAGGTATGTTGACACGAAACTTCTGTTTTTTTTTTCCTTTTTCGAGGTTTAGATAATTTCAAGTTCTTTACATTCCCAATCTGATTGTTGTCTAAGAAATAAAAAAAGCGCAGGTTTTTTCCTGCAAAACGATACGATTCTCTCCCGAGAATTAGTCCTTTCTGCGTAACCTGATTGTATTTTTATTTCATTGTTATCATCATAAGAATTATCATTTTCTTTTCTTTTTTTCTGACAGTAGTTTGTCGGTCCTCTCTCTCTAAGACTACAACACACGGGTAAAAGTGATGCGTTTTGCGAAAATGATGTACAGACGAAAACAAAATATTGCTATTTGGTTGTTTGATTATTCTCGAACATGACAGAAGTCGTTTGCCCTGAGGGGATGGATTCAATTTCTTACGAACGTAATTGGAAATTTTTTTGACAAGAGAAGAAAAACACTAACCAAAAACAATTTAGTGGTTTATATGTTACTAGATGGAATAATATTACACTCTTCTTATATCTGGAATGAAATCTTTACTCTTTAACAACTTGAAAGGGGTTATTTTTCTAGAAAGCGATATTTTTATTCATTTTATCGCGAGTAAAAATTAAATGAAAGAGTTGAAATCTTAGTATCATGCCGTTTTATGAGATCTACCTTACGTAAAAATGTAAATTATGTGTTGTTGTTAACCTTTGCTTCATGTAAACCTGGGCGGTACACGGTACTTAAAGTTAATAAACAAAACTCTGACTGAACAGTTTAAGGGGTGCTTTTTTCGCGCGTTTTAGGCATGTACTAGGCGATTTTCGGAGTTAGGCTATTTATCTTTGTACCCAGTTAAGGTTTTCCAGGAGAATGGCTCTTTTTTAGCTCATTTCATAGACTATAGCTGAAAAAGCAGGTGCGCCTTCGACCTCTCAAACTTTCTCAGATTTCAGTCAACAAGGCCCGTTTCGTGCTCACAGTTTTGAATGTATTGCGTAAACTGTACATATTTTTCTGCCCTCTAACCGCGAATTCGAGAGGTTTTCATTCTTATTTGATGAAATCTAAATTAGCAAAGATGTTAGAACTGATAAGTGGCGTTAGACGAAATCCAATCTTTGCTCCGACAGACATTTCGCAACGCCGACCAAGGTTTTTGCTGGATGGGTAGGTTACTTTAGAAACAACATCATAATGTAAATCCTGTGCGACAAATGGTAATTTGTTTACCTTTGGCCACAATTTCGCTTAAAATGGTTCTTAACCGAAACATAACATTTCAGATATTAACAGCCCTTAGAAACTCTGAAATAGAAGCCAGCCAGGGAATGAAGATTTTGGGAGCAACGGCTAAATCTCTACACATAATATGGTTGCCTTGATTGCCAGTTTCAATTAAGTTGTCAACCACTTAGTTCAGGTTGTAGTATTTTGCTTCTTTTGTGGCCCAAACTTTGCCAGCTGAATTCTATGTAGTCATTCGAATAATATTTTGGTCGCCAAAAGGTAGGTTGATCAAGTTTCCTGGGATAAAAATCGCTTATTCCTTTCATCAAACTAAAAGACGATGTGACACGACTATGCTATTGAGTTCGTGTTGCTCTCTGTGACGAAGTCACGAAAACATTTACAATGACAGTTTCACTCTAGAAGCTCAAACTGTCTTTCAACACAGCCAGGGCAATGTGGTTTCTCTGGTAGTAAACACATACAGAGTAGTTAAACGGTAAATTACAAGTGATTGCGCAAACCGATATTTGACTGGCTGTTCAGGACATGTGTTAAACAGTCGAATTGAAGTTCAATCGTAATAACATCGACGTGCGAGAAATTCTCGTACCTTTTACGGGCAAAGATGTGCTCCAGGAGTTTTTCTTCGAGGAAAAGATGTACGATGTAGTTGTTCACGTGCCAGGCTATGGTTGAGAAGATTTTGGGTACGAGATAGCTCTCGTGGATCTTGACTTGGCTGCTTTTGAAAACTAATAACCGAATCATAAGGAGCATATGGGATTGTTCTCATAATTCACACTGGCAAAATGAACACACTCATCAACCACACGTCAAAGGAAAAGTAAACCGATCATATCAATCTTAAGCTATTTTTAGGGTGTTGTCAAGCATGACATTAGTTTCACTTCCTCGGTTGCACGACAGGTTTTTTACTTCCATTAATGCAGCCGAAATGAATGACAAATTGTTTTTTTCGCAAATATCTACTATCGGGTGAGAAAGTTCCCCGCCTACCTCGGTTTTGCGGAACGACTTTAATCCCACTTCGATTATGACATTTCGAATCGCCGGAATCAGTTACCAGGAAAGATGTAATCCTGCTGATCTCATAAACTGAATGTTTGGTGACTCGTTGTGCTACATGCTAAATTACTCACGCCGTTGTTTTGAGGATTTTTTCTTTGGATACAGCCAAAGTACACCTGCTTCAAAGTTTGTATTTTGGTGTGTGTGGAAGTAAAACAAGCCATTGGGTAATGATTTCGCCCTTTTAGCTTTCGAAGTGCATCCTGTCTTTGTATGCAACGGAGACACAACCTATAACGTCAATTAACCTCCCTGATTGGCAACTCTTTGTAAGTCGAGCCGCTAGTTATGCTATCTATATGTTAATTAGTCGCAAGTGGCGGATATAGATTTTAATACAAATGAAATGTTCATTCATTTGTGCTCTAATGCTTTAAATAGAAATCTATAACTTGACGCATTTGTCGAGGAATCGGCAAGTAAATATAATACACTAGAATCAGACTTAGTTGAAGTGATTTTTATACTTAGAGTGGTTTACATATATTTCCCCTTTTTTTTCTGCTTTTTTTCCTTACATCTTTTACTTCACGAAATTCCGTTTTGAAATTTGCATTCTTTCGTTTTATCTTTCTTGTAACTTATTGGCATTTAAACTATTTTAATCTATGACCCTTTGATAGCTTTTGAAGATTTTTAATTAGATTGCCGAATCTTTTTAAAATTCTTAGATTGCTCCTTATGCGCGAAAACACAAAATATCTCAGTAGCTCGGTGGTCGCCGTTTTATCTTATTTTCAGTCGATTCTTAATAGGTCTTGCCTTTATCATTTGATACCCTTTGGCAAATTTTGTTTCACTGCCCCCGCAGTTTGCACCTTTGAAATTACCTATTAGCCGCAAATCGAAAACTGATGATAGAAGGAGAGTTTTTCGTTCAGTGAGTTGTCATTTAAATCTTTCTTTTTTTCGTTTTTCCTTTTTTTAAAAGATGCAGAGAATATTAAATGTTCATTTGAATAACTTGTAACTTCCTAGATGATTTTATCAACTTCTTCTCCTGTACAATGCAGTGATTTGTATTAAGTTCAATTCGCGGCTCACCACTTATCGCATCGGGTCGGTGAAGTCAAAGTTGAAGGCGCATTGTTTATCAAACAGACAGAGGCCTTCATTGCATCCCTTCGCCAACGCGGAAATTTTGATTATCGAAGGAACATGTTTTCTCAGTGTGAAAATTCTCCAGCGTCCCCAATTTTCTTGCGATAATTTCCTTTCCAATTGCGTTTTACCTTTCAGGCTTTTTGATAGTTTATCTTCTTCTATCACGAGATTAACGTCCATAAATTTTGATTTTTACCTCGAAGGTATGATTTCACCATTCTATATTAAAATAACTGCTCTTTCCGGATTTGATTTTTCGTGCAAACATTGAACATTAAACTGTATTGTCTCTGAAATTTTGTCCTCCTTCTGATTTTAGAAGTAAAATTTGACTTTATGTGTTAGTTTTGACTGCATCGAAATACTTTTTTATGGAGAGAAATACTTTCGAATTTGAATTTTTTAAACTATTTCTCTTTCACTAATGTAGCGATGAATTAACAACCGATTATAAGTGCAGAACGAATTAGATTAATAACCAAAGTATTTCCTCAAATTTGCGGAATATCAAATTTAGAGAAAAATATAATTCGTCATGTCACTACCCCAGTACAAAGAACAAATCTGAGTTCTCCACGAGGACTCAAACCCTAGACCTTCGGATTCTGCGATGCAGTACTCAGTCATTGGCATATTAACTATATGGTAAACTAAGCCATTACCAACTTTATATGCGAACTTTATCTCAGTTTTTTTTTGTCAGAACTTTGTCCCTCGCTCGTGAAAAGACGAGTAACTCTTTATTCTGTTCCACTACCGAGCTTGAAATTTACCACCTTTCTTATTGCATCAGCAGATTTGTCCAATCATCAACACAAAAAGAAATATATCGAAAGGTATTTGTTTACGTTTTGGTATTACGGAAGTCTTTGATTTCAACAGTCTATTATGGTGGTTATGTTAAGTGAGTTACATTCAAAGTACCTTAATAGAGTAATCCATTTATATATATCAGTGAGTTGAAGGGTACAAGAAATCGGTTTGGCAAAGCCAGTTGCTAGCAAAGCACCTTATTGTTAAATCTGATTTATTCAGATAGGTATTGACCTATGCTGAAGATGTTAATTCAATTCTATTAGGGTCTATCTGATAAACATGAAATCTAACTTGGGTATCCACAGTAGCTCTACAACTATTTCCTAAGACCCTCGTGAAGCTCGGGCAAATTTGTTAAATCCATTTAAAATCTCGATGAAGCATTTTATTTCCTTTAAGCACTCTGACCAGTGTCCAGTCGTTGTATGCAATTTGTGTTATCAGAGATTAGGAAGGTATTTTACGGCTAAGTAGTAAGTAAGTAGTATTTATATACAAGGAAACCCTTGGGATTTCCCGAGGTTTTGCTTTAGTGTCATCTTAATGTACTTGCCGCTTGAAAGCTAAATGGCCGCCGAAGTGCACCAAGCAAGATATATAATAATTTTGTAACGTATACGATGTGTTTACATTGAGGTCATTTCAGCTATAACAAGCGAGAACTCTCCAACGAAGGTTCTCCTTCATACCGTAAAAGGATCAGAAACAATAAATCTAAGATTATTCTTAAAAGGGATAATTTATTGTATGCGAAGTGAATGCCTAATGTATTTTGAGTTTGACTCAAAATTTCAAGAAACTCCTGTCCATTGTCTTATATTTAAAAGTGTGGATTGCTATTCTTCAATCAACTCTTTTGACAGTCGTCTTACCTCCCGCTTTCCCTGCCACTGGCTCTTTCAGTTCAGTCTATTTGCATAAATGTGTTGAAAATACGTTTGTCGATCTGTTACATCACCAAATGTCTAGTTTTCCGATGAGTACAAATGCAGGCCACAGTTTTTGAAATGACGATTTTCAAGAGCTTTTCCTGGGTAAGCTTTTCCGCGGTGTTGATATGCGTTGCGGCCTGTCTTCGTCGATGTCTGAGCTCCTTTAAAATTGTTGATTTATATAAAAGATTCTTTTTTTCTTGATTTGATTATTCACGTACATCGTGACTTGGCCAATCGGAAACTTTGTAATGCTGTTCATTCTGAGTCTGTCAGCTGTGCCAACTACCCCTATTTACAAGTATGTCAATACTTGTTAACTTTGATAGACAACTTGTTTCTTCGTTTTCAAATGAGGTTTTCAATTATATTTCGGAGACATTCGAGGCTTCATATCTTTGAAATTTTTATTTAAAATTATTCAGCTGACCGATTGCTTGGCGTTTTGTCTTTGATCCAGTGTTACAATTAGCCGCACGCTATATTTTTGGGGTATTTAGCTCGTCTTTACCACGTTGTCAATTTGATAAATAACTTAATGAATTTTGACAGTTCTACTTAAAATCTATTTCTGGTTGCCATCCCTCTGCATGAGCCTAGAAATACTACGCATGTTTGAAATAGGAATTCGTCATTTGCATGTGTGAAAGACTCCCTCAATTTCTATCTTTTATTTGTTTCAGTCGGCGAAACTGAAGTTTTCGACGTTTAAGGTAATTCTAATGTTTAAACTACCAAAATTTGTCGTCTCACTTGTTAAGGGTGCATCCGTGCATCGTTCAATGTTAAATTTCACCGATTTTATCTATTAGTATAAGCTCTTGGATGTTGGTAATAAACGGTCGTATTTCAGTTTAATCAGAGCAAAAGACAAACTTGTGTTTGTGGCGCCAGACTGACCGATCAGCTGTTCGATGTCAAGTGTCCATTAGGAACCTCGCGTGTAGTGATCGTTGTTAGAGCCAAATTATAATTGTTTGGGAGACTAAGATAACCTTAGCAATTCGATCTCTTTTGAATAATTAAGGTTGGAAACTCGTGCACTCTTGCATGAAGTTTTGGCCCAGGACTTCAAAATTTCCTATTCGCTATTGTTATTATTGCTTCAAAGGTTGCAATTATCTCACCAGAAAGTTAATTTGAAAATTCATTTTTGTGGTCATGTGCATATTTTTCCTGTTGCTAAGTGGTGCTAATTTTTTGAATTGTATGTGGTTCTCTGATCCTTGTCGTTCTTGAGTGGATTTGAGTCGATGAAGTGAACCGCAATGTACTTTTGTATTCTTTTTTGTGGCTCAACAATGAAGATACAACTGATTGCTTTTCACGTATTGCTTCAATGAAATATTGAGACTGTTTTCGTGCTAACGAAGCATGGAAAAAATGTATGTCTGTTATGTATCGTGGATCGCAAGACGTGATTAAGAAAGAAATTTTCTCGCTTCACATTTCCATCTATGTGCGGGTGCTAAGCTCTGTTGACCTGTCTTTTGGCGTTGTCGAGACAAACTTTAACACATTCTTGAAATTAGTAATTTAACTTAAGAGCTAATGCATCTCAGCTGGAGTGTTTAGGATCCTTTTGTAGTTTGTTTGATATCTTGCTAAAAGGTTATCTGTTAAGGAGTGTCTTAATTCAACAGCAGTGATCTTTTGTAAATGCCGTGAGGCTTGTTTCGCTTTCATTTACGTTTCTCGCAATGGCCTTCTTAAGCATGTTGCGTGCGATTTGCCCCTTGAAGGCATGGGATTAAATCCAACATGACGTGTAGACATCATTAGGGGCATTTCACACTGTAAGACACGAAGGCACCTTCAAATGAAATACACTGTACATTTAAAAGGAAGTTTTCTAGAATCCATCACGTTTCCACCTCATATCTCACTTATACGGACCCTTTAGAAAATCTAAATACCGTTACAATGAAACCTCTCAAGCAGATCCTTACCAGTTAAAATATGGTGTTCTGCATCTGCCCTCAACTTAAGCTTTTTGTTTTACTGATTCAAATCCGCTCCAGCGTAAGTTATCCAGAGCTTTCTTTATATGTTGTGGAACTTTTATCTGTGCGTCATAAGGTTTCAAGGAAATTCCTTAGATTCCATCTGATAATTTGCATATCAAGTGTTGTTGCTCTAGTGGGTGAAGTGAATCACCCAAACATCCTTTCCATTGGTGCCAAACTGAATTAAAGTAGAACCAAAACGTTTTGGAATCGCCGTAATCTGTGTGAACGCCGCCTAGAATTTCATTGAAACAACCACCGATCACCTTTGGCGTGGAGATCGCTAACTTTCATTGAAGATCAAAAAAAATTACCGAATTTATTTCAATACTTAAGTTAATCTAGAGTAATTTGCAATATCAAGTAAGGTTGAAAAGAATCTGTCCAACGAATGTAGTTGTGAGTATTTGATCTTTTTAATATCAATAAGTTTCCATGTATATTGGCCCTTTAGAAAATTGCAGGTTTGTGATATTAAGAAATAAAACTAGCATGGTTGAAATTGGGCTGCAAATTGCACAGCCTTTTTCTCTATTTTTCAGTTATCTTCGCCCCAATTTGCAATTATTCAAATGATGAGAAAATTGCTTTTTCCTCAGCGGAAACGAAAAACTTACTGGGTGGTCAGATTGTCAATGAGTGTTCTAAGAAAGGGAAGATGAAGATGAAGAAACTTATGCCCAGGCTTATAGCCCCTTAGTTTTTTCTTTTACTTTCACTCTCCCTTATCGAAAACTAAGTATCCATTCAGGTGTTACTCCCGATAAACGACATGACCTGGCATTCCCGAGCATTTTTTGCAAGAAAAATACGAAAAGAACAATCGAAAAAAACCTGCTTAACTCTGATCCTTATAGGGAATTTCTCAAGGTGAGGAGTAAAATGCGTAACAATTCAATGAGTTTTTGTGATGTTTATTTCAGATCCCCTACTTCAATTAATAATTCAAATGGTTTCATAAATCCTTCTTATCATTAGATTGTAGAAACTAGGTGTGAAATAAGATCGATCAGTCAGTTTAGTTAAAATTGAACTTTGGAAATTAGTTGAGCCAGATGAAAGAACCGCAGAAATTTACGTAGAAAGAGTGGTGACCAAAAATGTGAGTACATCGAATACAGTAAAGTTAACTTGCTCACAATGTACCTCACTACGGGCTAGTGTACTTCTTGCGTACAGTACACGAATGTGGTCTTGATAATCAAAGACATATACATACATATCAGTGGACAGTGGGTTGAAATAAAATGAAATATAAAAGAAAAGAGGCCGTATTTAGACAATGCTTTTGTATAGTTCCAAATGAAAATGTTATGTCTTCTTGGCAAGCACAATCAAAATCTAGATTAAAAAGTTGGCAAGTTATCTAACATTTAAATCTTTGTTATCCTGCCTTGATTCAACTTACGTTTGCAAAGGTTAAATATAGATTTTAATCTTCCTTCATTTCAAGCAATTTTTTTGGAAAACAACATTTTTTCTTGTTTGATTTAGTCAAGACAGGCCTCTTTCGTCAAGCTTTGTAGCAACAGGAGGCTTCGACAGTTTTTAAAGACAGCGATACGAACAAGTTATTATGTTTAGTTCAAGCGAGGAAACATGATTTGTTGAATGAAGTTGAGAGAATGTAATGCTCAAACTGACGTTTATTATTGACGTATCATTGCAGTACGTCAATCAGATTTGCCGAAATGGAAATTTGACGCATTATTGAACACTGCTTCAGAATTCTCTGTATTCACAAAACATTTTCAAAACTCAGAGTGTCGTTTCGTCAGCTTTTTTACAGTTTAATTTACTCATGTACTATATTTCGTTTAAAATTGTAATCGAAATAAATTTTGTTCTATTTTGTTATCATTTAAAGACAAGGACAAATTTTATCTTAATTAAAACGAGAACATAAGGCACACAATATTTTTAAAATTTATTATTTCTTATTATTTTTCAGGACGAAAATATGAATACCTTCCATTTTAATCCTTTTATTTTCGAGGTGAGGCGTGCGATCAAATCTTGGTCTAATATCATATGCAAATTTCAGCTATCTTTCATTGTTTAATGAAATTTTCTCAGAGTTTCAAACTTCATAATCACTTAATTTGACACTGCCCTGAAACGTCAAGTATCCCTCGATGAAATTCAAAATCTGGCATTCAAGGTTTTTAGGTTATAGCAGGAGCTCATGGTTATAGGTATTCCCTACAATTGTCAATTAATCATTGAAAGCCGTTTGAAATAATCATAGACCAAGAAATTAACTTTACTTTAATCTCAAAGTTAGAAAGAAAAATAACTGCGTCCTTAAATATTGTATTTGTATTCGATGCCTTCAACATATAATTTTTAGATAATTTTGGAGTTTTTTTAGGAGATGCACTCACCTTTTTCAAATATGATTTCCTTTCCCTGTGGTTCGGTCGCGGTTACTTGCGAATTACCTAGTAAAAACACAAGCCATGGCATGAATAATGAATCATGACAGGGCGTTTTATATCTCATTCCCTCGTAGGAGAACCTCATAGGTGAGTTTGAAAGACTCCCTACCGGCTTTTTCAAATCTAAAAAATATGTCTTTGTTGCTACTGTAAGAGAAATTACAATTATGTTTTTTCGACTTGCAATAGCGTTTTGCTGCCAAGTGACATTCGTGGATTAATTAGTACATGCTATGATACATTATTTTCCTATACATCGTTTTGAATACAAACTTTATTTGAAGGAAAACAACATATTGCATATTTTGAGACCCTAACTTAAAAAGTTCTAGTCCAGAATGGGTGTGAAAAAATCTACTCATCGTAACAATTTCTTAATAAATTTTACGTAGTTTCAGTAGAACAATGAAAATATCTTACAAGAGATTACAAAATAAGTAATATCTTGATTGTTTATTCTGACATGATATGAATTTTTAAGTGTTCCGTCTTACAGTTTCTGTTTTACTTTGTGGACATAACATCTATCTGATAAATATTTTTGACCAGTTCTTGGGGGGGGGGGGAGAAAAGAGTGGGTCGGAATTCTTGGAGGATGGGAAAAATTGAAAAAGTTCAAACTCTTCAAATTTTGTTATTACAATTTCCACGTAATAGGTTGCAGTGCGCTTTTACCTGGCACATTTTGAGACTCTTATCATTTATATCGATAGAGCTCTTTTTGAAATGTGATGATTTTGAGATCTCAGATCTCAAGCCAAACTAAATCGAGTTAAAACAACACCTATCGAAAACGTGTCATAGTACACGTATATATTGCACTTCGATCCTTTAAGCTCTCTTAATTTCCTCACGGTTCAAACACAATTTGCAGCAAATTCTCTTAACTGATTTGCAGGGAGAGACTGCATAGCTGCGATATTAGTAAGGAAGAATTACTTTTGAGATCTGAGGGGCTTGGAATAACATGGAATACCCAAACAGTGTTTGGCCATGCCACCACTTACTCTCGCTGAACTACTACAGTGACCCGAGCCATTCTGTACAAATCTCTGCCAGCGCTGTAAATATTTTTCGGTTAGTG